TAGGGTGCAAGATAGCTTTTGTAGAACAATGGTTTTCTTAGGTCGACAAGACAATACACATAACGCATATTGGTGGCGCGCTATGTTTCGCGTGATAATGATTCTTTAGGGTACAATACAACTTTTTCAGAACGGCAGCCTTTTCAAGTCGACAAGATAATACACATAGCGCATATTGGTGGAGTGCTATGCTTCGCGTGATAATGATTCTTTCGGGTATAAGACAGCTTCTTAAACTGAACCAAGTCATCTGTATTTAAAGACCATTTGAAGAAACATTACAACATCCATTTAAAAAATGCCACTAATATTTAATAAGTGGTTCAAAAAGAGGCAAAAGGGTGAAGGTAGTTCAACAGATCCCCATGGAACACGTCTTAACACTATCGATCACTACCTTAAAAAAAATATGCTAGGTTGCTACACTGACTTGGTTGATGACAAGTGGTATGGTGTTCTGCGTACCTTGAAAAATAAGCCTATCAATATACACACTAATCGCAAAGTTGCAGGGCACATTATTGAGGGCAAAACACATTCTACAAAGCTTGAAGGTATGCGAATTTGGGGCAAAAAACTACAATGGGCTCCCCTTTACTCAAAACGGTGTGATTGTGAAGTACTATATTGCTGGTATGGGCTTGTTGTGCCACAAGCACTGTCCGCAACCTTCCAAACAAATACACACAAAGATGAACCAGAAGTGATTCAGCATTTGATGAAGGCGATTCTAGAGATGGAAAAGGCACTAGTTGTTCATCATGCAATGGATGATCTTAACTTCCTGGGAGGAATGGAGGATCAGTACTAGGAATTATTAGAAAATGATAAATTGCATAGAGACAATGATTATCCTGTTTTCCCAACAGTTGTCGAGTGGGAGGGACTGCCTAAGTTTCTACCACAGACATTGGACGTAGGAGTCCCATATTGTTGTAAAAATCAAGCAAGTGGTCTTATTAATGATAGCGATGAAATGCGAGAAATGTGTGCCAACTGGGGCCTAGATTACGATGCCCTCGGTCCCGAAGGGTACGTACACGATGTTGACGAAGAAGATGAAGACAGTGACAATGAAATATTGCCAGACATCGACGATAATGGAGAATGACAATCGTTTTTTTTCTTGGGGTATATGTTAAATTGTTGTACTGAAGTATTAATGCTAAATATCAATTAGATTTAACCCCAATGGAAACATAATTTTATTTCATATATTTTGCAAGTTGAACATGTACATACACTTATTACAATAAATTACTGCAATAAAACACTATGTGGATCCTTCATAATTAGGCATATTGGATGAAATTCCACCGGGAGCTGAATTACCATCACTACCCAAACCAGCTGAAGGACATTTACGACAGTCGTGTCTTGTTTGCGAGCATATGCCATATTTACGCACATAAACGGTATCACCAACATCCATTTGTTTCCATATATGCGTTCTTTTTTGCACTTGTCGTTGACACACATACTCTTGTTACACACCATTTAAATGGTCCCGTCGGTCAATAATGCTCAGCACCCACTGGCTGCAACTGTCCACTATAGGTGTTTAAGTATGCAACAACACTATATTCTTTATTAACATACCTGGTTGCCGCGAAACCTGCATGTTGAAAGCACTTCATGGCATGTGAGCACGGCATGTGATAGATGGACCATTTCCCATATTAGCATAACCTTCTGGCTTCATTGACGGTATTATTCCCCCGGATGTGATATATACGGTGCGAACTTCAAAAATATTTCGCTCGTTGCAATACTGCAAAAATAAATGTCACTGTGCTCGCTTCCTATATTTCTCAAATCTTTTCATTGGTATTGGCATGAATTAAACACCCATTTCCATCAATGAGGATGCACCTCTAGACCTTTCAACAAACCTCTCCGCCATCTACTTGAATGACATTCGCACTATGGCAGTGACAGGAAATCCACGTGCAAACTTTAATAACCCGTTGAAAGACTCTGACACATTTGTAGTCAGAATTCCCCATCTTCAGCCACCATCTGCATGCAAAGTCCACTTGTCAAGCTCATGTCGCATCAACCAAGTATAGGGTCCTTGGTCTTCCTGCCTGATCAATTTCATTCGTCTCCTGAATTTACACTCTTAGTGATCAGTTGCAGCCATCCACATAATCATGCAAGTCCTTGTTCGGATAAGCCCTCTGAAAGTTGGCCTTCAGGTGCCTCACACAGTAACGGTGGTAGGCATACAGTTCCTGCCATGCACGCAAATTCTGTACAGAACTTAAAATACTGCCATGACGATAAGATGTTAGACAAATACCTTAACGTTGTCTGACAACGTGTTCCTTCAAGTGGTTCAAGAATAATGTCCACATCTCTTGGCTTTCATTGGCACAAATAGTAAATGCTAAAAGAAATATACTTCCATTAGCATCTACTGCAACGGTGATCAATAACTTAATATCATACTTTCCATAGACACGAGTACCGTTTATGGATATTACCGGCCGGCAATGCACAAAACCATCAATGGCTGATTTAAATGCCCAAACACATATCTGAATATGTGTTCTGGTATTCCCAGACTCCGCTCAAGCTTCAATTTAACAACAGTCCCGGGGTTAAAGTATTGCAATACGGCCATGTACCTGGGTAGAGATGCAAAGGACTTATCCCAATTACCATAAATAATTTCAAACGCATGTTTGTACCCGAGAAATGCCTTTCTTTTGGTAATGGTACACCCATATACTTGGTGGACAGATGTTATGCACTTTTTGATCTAGTACCTTATGGACGCTTGAATGTGTGGAATAAAGACAAGAGAAATCAAGTCAACATTCAAGTTAAAATGATTCCCACTGAATGTGTCCATTTCACAATTGTGGGTGCCAATGTATTTACCCACAACCTACATATTTGTTTTCTGCTTCCTCGCACGCATCATCCAATTACAACCCGTAAACCATCTATGACAAATAACCTTGTATACATCCGGAGATGACTCATGAACTACGATCTCACGACACTCTTTTATGTTGTACATTCGCACTGCCCTGTTTAGGCGTGCTTTATCAGCAAAAAACATGCCCTTTGACAATACCGTTGCTCTAAATTCATCCCACATTGATATCCGAATTTCGTCAAGATCCCCTGTAAGAGCATCCACAACCAGCATACTTGGCAAATGATCAAGGCAGGGAATCTCCCTTGAATGAAACGGCATGTGGAACTCGTACACTCTTGGTCTAAAAGGAGGTGGAGCATGCTCCCTCGTCAAATTAGGTTCAACATTCTCTTCCTCCTCATCATCACCCTCATCAGGGAAGGGTGTGTCAACTCCAAACTTATCAGCATTGTTGTCATAAACACTATTCTCTTCCTGACTCTGTGCATCTGCCAGATCCCAATTAAATATGTCGTCTTCGGGCAATTGAGTAAGGATAGGACCTTCAAGTTGCTCGTTTTCACTGCACAACCAATAAAATAATGAGTTTCTCAAATTGATCCAAACTTTACATATAGATTTATCACTTCACTTGCAAATCATAATGCGTTGATATCCCATGATGGACATTATCGTGTTGATGATGACTCCCGGATGGACCACTATGATCCAACACACCAAAACTAGGCATATTCCAACTAGGTGTTGGTTCATAACTTATAAAATTCATATCTGGTCGGTACCCCATGTGGAATATATGTGTGTTAATACAAATTCAATACATAAAAATAAATATCGTAACACAAAGAAAAATTGAAGTTTACTATTCATCTTGTGAATTATGTAAACTAGGGGAGAAATTATTTCCTCTCTCCTCATTAGACCGTGGAGATAAGTTTAGATCAGGCCAATCTCTTTCACCCGGAACCTGTTCGGCTAAAACTGCTCCTAAATAACCACCCGATAATTGAGGGATATCCCTACTTTACGGAACCTCATTATTGCGAACGTCTTCAGCCTTGACGTACATTTTCAACATTTTTTATCACAAGAAATTCCCGGTATTCATCCAGAGTCCTCAAAAATTCTCTCAGAGTTTCATCATCTTCGATGTTAACCTCAGCATAACAAGTAACCCCTTGCGGTGTGACAGAATACGAATATCTTCCGGTTACTTTAATATTCACCGAACATTTGCTCACACTCATTGTTTTACATAACAACAAATACCAATGTATCGTACTTCATTGTAAGTGGCAACTTAATATGACAGTGTGGAGAACAATTATAGCTTAATGAGTTATTCGCCACCATAACCTCATCCCCCCAATATAATAAAACTCTAATTCTTCGCTCTTCAGACATTATAACAAAATGCAAAATAACTTAACGAACAAATATTTCATAAGACTTGAAGGATCCTGAATGGATTTTTACAAAATCCTGAAACTCTTTAAATAAGAAAAAAATCAGTCTAGGGGTACAATTATTTGAGGTATATCGCCTTAAATATGGGCGCTATACCCAGTTAAATTATTGGTGTGTCAGTTAAATCCAGAAGAATTATTTGTGGGCCCAATACTTAAGTATAGTGCCTTAAATATGGGCGTTATACCCAGTTGAATTATTAGTGTGTCTTTTAAGCAACGAAAATTATTTGTGGGCTCAATACTTAAGTATAGCGCGGTATTGCACCGCGCTATACCTTAATGGCAAACGTGCCGTTAAGATATAGCGCGGTAAGATACCTCGCTATATATATTATGGTGCCCACTTTTTTTCACATATTTTGGTTCTTTGAATCCAAAAGAACCACACTTTAGTTCCGGACTCTTCCTAGGAAAGAGCAATCAAAGGAGCGTGTGCCCAAAGCAGGTCACGTACCTTAAGAGACAATATTAGTTGTACTCGAATCCTTGTGAGATCATGGCAACCGTCTATTACGCAACCACCCCACTAACTGCATACCTGACATGCTAGCTAGGAACTCGGAACAACCACATCCCTCCTATAAATATCCTATTCAATTCATTTGTAAAGATAATAACAAATCATTCATTGAGTTCTTAGATTGTACTTTGCTTCAACACTGCAGTACTAGAGGCCAAACGATCCATAAGATCCCTTTTTATTTTCTATCTTCATTTTGTATCCTTATTAGATTTACCAACATCATTGATGAAAACACAGCATATGACATTTGGACAAGGTTGGAAAATCTATACATGTCCAAAATGCTGACAAATAAATTGTATCTGAAGAAGCAGCTATACACCCTACACATGGGTTAAGGTACAAATTTTTTGTCATACTTGTTTGCGATTGATTGCTTTATGGAGCTCTAGAAGTGGATAATGGCCAGAATATACCTGTTTTCTCCCGTTAGAGAAGCCTCGTGTAATTTGGTCAGTTTTCTGCACAAACCACCGAAGTTCTCCACCTCCTGGAAGGCTGTATTTTTAACGGATTAGGCTTTTGAAGATGTTGCTAGTTCTGGTTGCCCTTGAAATAATGTCATTTTCACTTCGGACTTTAAAACTACCGAGAACCATAAGTTCTTTTAGTATGCTAACTGTTTAAGTAATTGCACTCAACTAACTGTTTCTAACACTTTTATTGTTCATATGGATAGGTGGGTGATTGTGTATCTTGCACAGTTGAAACCACTCATCGTACCAATCTTGAGTGAAGAGAATGAGATGCTTATGAAAGAAAGCGTCCATCCAATCCATTATACAAGGAAGAAGTATTTGAAGGCATGTTGTAGCTGAAGATACTGTTGTATCAAAATTTCTGTGTACTTGTAGTTGGTGGAAGTAATTTTAATTTGTTTTATAGTTTTGGGGATGTTTCTCTGAGCTTTGGACTAATGGCAAAAATAACACATGGATGATGTAACTAGTTCTTACTCTATGTGGTTCGGGGAAGGGTCGGGTCATAAGTGTCTACTGTACGCAGTTTTACCCTACATTTTTTCACGACTTGAACTCGTAACCTCCTTATCACATGACAACAATTTTACCGTTACGCCAAAACTCCCTTCCATCTGCATTATTTATTTTTTTACTCATAATATTATTATTCTTACTCTCTGTTGTAGTAAAATTATTTTTCATTTGCATTATTTATTTTTTTTAATCATCTATATTCTCCTTGATGGACAAAACTACTTGGTAATTTGTAGTTGGTGGAAAGTAGAAAGAAAAATTTTCCATACTGGTTGATGAAGATAAATATTTAGCCCTTTATTAATTTCTTCTAAATAAATGCCTTTTCTGTTCTACCTTGAAAAGAAAAGTGATATTTTTTAATTCTGCACGAGTAAATGATATGATCACACGGAAAACCTTAATAAAATAATAATTGGTGTAGGTGGTCAATGAAAGGCAAATTTACATTTTTTTTCACTTTTCAAATTGAATTGAAAATCCTATTCAAATATTTTTCATAAATTTAATTTTTAGAATATTTAAGGCTTATATTTACATCACCTGTATAATATTTGAAGGTGATATAGTCTACGCTAAGGTAATTACCAAATTGTTAAGACTCAAAAAATACGTGAGAAAGACATGAATTATATGACTAGTTTAAGTGCAAGTTTATGAATGCAATATATCATGAAATAACTAAATCCATAATTATAAAATTGTTACAGAATAGATAGTACATATGCAGAAATTCTGCAATTTTAATTTTTAAATAGAAAAATAAAAATCAAAAAATAAAAGAGGTCACGTCGTCTCCTAAACGACACCTCCCTGCGATAATTCTAAGGCGAAAAAGATGAGAAAAAACGACAGGAAAAATCATCAGAATTCCTAAAAATGTCAAATTAATTTCACATTTGAATGTCTCCTCTTCTTCCTCTTTATCCCAATCCAACAAATTTGTGGAACAGATCAAAAGTCTTAGGTTTGAGCTTTTTCAAAATTCCCCAAAATCAAATCATTCCGCAAAATGGTGGTGCCTTTATTACAGGCACCGAAATTTAGGAAATTAAGGAGATCAGCTTTAATATTAGGCCTCTCCAATGCGCTTATAATAATAATAATAATAATAATGGGAACTGTTATTGTAATTATTACCCGTTATTCGTGCGGAGAAAAGGATATTGCGCCTGTTTTTGTTATAATGATGGCTCGTTTTGTAAGAACTGGTGCTATGATTGGAACTGGTATTGCTCAACAAGATACTGCTTCCAGTATTTTAACTTCTCAGGCTGATTTGCCTGATTCTCAAGCTGATATTCGGCATCAAAAACGGGTATAAAAATTAACCTTTTTTTTTTCTTTTCCTTGACAGTAGTTTTAATTATGTGCAACAGTGAAAAATGCTTTTTTTAGTACTATTATGGTATTTGTTTCATTTTATGTGGCAGTGTTTGACTGAATATTGGAAATTGAAGTATTAATTTGACTTCAGTTTGGAAAAAATTGGCTTAGGGATTATATTAGTGACAGTGGAAGAAAATGTTGAAGTAATTAAAAGTTTTGTTTTTATTTAATAAAATGATGACATGAGTTGAGTTTAAATGGAAAATTGAGGATTCATATAGCCGATCCCAACTTGTTTGCGACTCAAGCGTAATTGTTGTATTTAAGAAGTTTGTTTGATGAAGAACTTTACTTCAAAGTTCAGCTATTTTTCATGTGGAACGAGACTTTGAAAGAAATTTAAATGTATTTTTTCATAACTTTGATCCAAAGAAGAAAGGGATTGTAGAGCTAAGAGCTTGTACCTACTCGTTTCTTAGGTGATGTTACAAGATTATCACAAAAGCATTACATGAGAGAAGAAAGGTGGTCATTGGATTGAAAGCAGTTTACTTCCACTGTTCCACAAAATTCAGTCAATATTTGATCTTGGCTGGGTTACAAGAATGTAAAGTGTTTCGAAGGAGGATCAGATGCATCAATTTGTTTGACTCTAGATGTTCACAGGCTAATAGTTTTTGGTGTTCGCTGAAACTTGTGAATGAATTTTGACACTTTGCTGGACTTCATAGACTCTTTGCATATGAAAAGGAGTTATAGCTAGTGTTTGGCCATAAATTCTCAAATTTGTTTTGAAATTTAGCATATTATTCGTGGTGCTTCTGCTGTAAAAAGTACCTTACTTGTATATAATAAAACATATACTCCACTCAGTAACATCTGGAATAAATTAATCATCCATCTCCAACATCAGTATCAGCATCACCACCACCGAGACCCAATACAGATGTGAATCCACGAATATTCAGAATGTCAGTTGCATGGTGTACGGTTTGATAAAAAAATGCGTATTACAACTTTGTATTGAATTGTATCATAACTCATATTTTATTAGATATGATAACAATGGTTAAAACTAAACCAAGAAAAGGGAGAAAAGAATTCGAATTAAAAGGTTGCTACACGGTTGTTGCTTGTCTATTCCGTTGTATGGTAGTTCCTTGTAGTTCCCTTTTGATATAGGGGGATTTAAACGGTTGGTTTCGTATTATACAAAAGTATTTTAGAGTAGCTAGTTGATCCTTGAATATGTTCCATTTAGGCGTCTTAACACAATTGGATGTAACACCTTCTACACACAATAACCCAGTAAAATTCCACAAGTGGAGTATGATGTAACGCCTTCTATACACCTTTATATTTTTTATCTTACGCACGGTAGGGTCTGCTTAAACTTTTACCTGAATAATCCCAATTTTATTTGCACACACGACTGGATTAGACATGTCTAGTATTTATTTTCCAGATCCAGACGTCATAATTAGCATTTTAAACAGATCTTTTGCTCTTTCTCTTCTCTGGTTTTTAGCATTCGCATGTGTATTTATATTATGTTTGTTGATTTGGACTGTATCTTATGGTTGAAAGAAATGGAACTGTCATCGGAGGGCATCAAGATATTTGAGCATGGGATGTTTTTCCTAATGTAAAGATTATAATTGCAACATCTAGCCAGCCATATGCAACTTTTGTTTATTGTTTACATTTATGATTTAAACAGATTATAATGCCAGCCTGCTGTTTTAGTATATTATTACTTTATTTTGGCAAGACACATTCATCTGCTGTGATGGGCATGTGATAAAATTATACTCCTTTACCAAGTATTCTCTACATGTAAAATCATTAGAGCCCTCTGAAAGACATTTCTTGTTTGTAACATATTTTTGGGTTTTACGTCCTGGTTACAGATCCTCCAAGTAGGCGATCAGCTCATCGGAAGATGATGGTGCGCTTCATTTGCTCCGGAGTTGCCTATTTGGTCAGTATGCATCGGACACGTATTGATTGGTATGTCGGGGCCCTGCCCCGGCCTTATGACGTTTATGTACTCTTAGAGGCTTGTAGACATATTTCACGTACGGGAAAGATTGTATAGCCTTGTCGACCTATGTTCAGTATACGAGTGATCATTTTTACCTTAAACCATATGTCATATGCATTAGTTGGTATTATATGTTGGGTCGTCCTACGACGAGTGTTCCCTCACGTTTCATTGTAGTTATTTCATGATAATATTTTGGCCCATTTATCAATGATAGTACGATAACAAAGATACGTTATGTTGGTACTTGATTGAGTAAGGTAGCGGGTGCCCGTCGCGGCCCATCAGTTTGGGTCGTGACAACAGATGTTTAACAGAAATTTAGATTTGAGACATTTAGATCCGAAGCAATTTGTTTTCATTGATAATTTGGACTGATACAAGTGGAAACAAAGATTACATCACCATTTCGTAGAACTACATGGGGTTGGACAACTTGCCCTTTTGGAAAGTAAAAGAGAAAACTACGGATAAGGGTACAAAGTGGGAAAGAGGGGAAATCAACCAACTCTAATAACTATCCCCTGAGTCCTTTCCCATATCCTTCTCTTCTTCTGGCTCCTCTTCCGAATCCTTCTCCGGGTCTTCCTCAAACTCCTCCTCATCATCGTTGAACTCCGACTCCTCTTATGGATCTTCTTCTGGCTCTATGCTAGACTCTATTTGGATGCACTCCACTACCCGGTCATCATCTTCAGCAGGTGGAAACATGTGGTCAATGGATCCTGGGACCACCTGACGGTGCATCGAAGTGATCACAAGGTAATGTGGCACGATCTCATGGTAAATCCGCAAAGCAACCACTGCATCCTCTAACCACGCTATACCCTCTCTGCTTGGCCGGGCCAACTCATCTTCCTCGTTGATCTTGACATAATACTCAGGAGTACACCACGATTTTTGACCCATAGGCATTGTGACCAAGTCTTTCCACTCTTAGAGCCTTCTTATCCTAGGAATTAGAATTTGTCTATTGTACTCATCCTTGTATAGCATTGTCTTTGTCCATAGAGGTACATCTTAGATCATCCCGAACTGTTCGAGGACCTGCAGGGGTGAGTATGGTTGAATTCCTTCCAGTCCGAACAGCTCAATGAAGCATTTCTGAAGAGTCCTCAAGATTGCTCTTCCACCTAACCAGGATAGCTTCCAGTTGATCCATTCCCCGCTCAGATATGTCAACGTTTTCCTCCTTCATTCTTGCCCATGTGGGGAGACCCAATGTCTCATTCTTTCGTTATGGTTGCGGATCATGTTGTTGACGTTCGCAAAGTAGTCGATAGTGGCCTCTCGTTGTTAGAAATGTTCGGAAGCCCAGATCCGAAGAAGCAAGTTTAAACCTTTAAAGAAATTATACCCTCGTGCACATGCGGACAAATACCTCAGCATTTCAACTAACACCATCAACACCAAAGTAGCTTGAAGATTGCCATTAAAGGTCGCCAGAACGACAGGTAACAAGTTGATGTTGACACGACCCCTTCTCTGAGGGAAGACCAATATTTTCAATAGTGCCATTGAGAAAGTGATAGGCCTGAGACTCTCCTACATCGCTTGGTCACATTGAAACTCTCCTGAATACCACACATAGCTTACATGGTGCCCAAATATGTCGAACAACTGGTCGAGGCTGACCCATCCATCCTTGATAATTTTGAGACTCCTACTATTGGGCAGGCCTAAAGCATCTAAGAACCGGTAGCCATGCATAGTAATTGGCAATATTAGCTTCCTTCTATTAAACGACAACTCCGTGAAACTTGTGACTTCTTCCAATGTCGGTACTAACTCATAGTCGGTAAATTTGAACACCACCTTAGCCGGATCCCAAAATTTCTATCAACAGGCGTGTGAGCACCCTGTCTACTCGGATGTCCAACAAAGCGGTTAATGCCCCCAGGTGCATCCGAATCTCATCTCCGTGTTCCCGACGAATATTCTTCCACCACTGTTTCAATTTATGTGGCGCTCCCATAACCATGCTAATCTCAGGGATGTTTTGGTTGATTTCTATTTTTCTGAGATGGGTAAAAGAAAGATGTTTGGTAAGTGTTTGCTTCAGATCTTGAAGTGTCTTCTCAGGTTTGTTTGTCTTTCCATATAAGTCATGTCGTTGGGTGCATGACCCATTGACATTACGGTGGCTTTCCTAATTGTATGTCGATGCCAAGGACAGACTCACCTAAGGTTTATGCAGCATGACCTATTTTACTAGAGCAGAGTGTTTCCTACTTTTGAGTTGGACTAAAGGCTGTGAGAAGTTATGTCAGTTGACCTAAAAAAGATATACTCTGAAACTAGAGAGGTTTGAAAAGAAGGTTCAGAGGGGTGTAAAAGACAACCCTCACGTGCCATTGTGTGTGATAGTGTACGACCAAGAATCGATAGGAAAAAATGTGATGATAGTGTATATAAAGTAGTAACAAACATTGGTGTAGCAACAATAAGCATGATAATAAACACAAAGAGCACACAAAGCAGGTAAGCATGTAGTTGCCATTTTATCTACAATTAAAGCAATATACAAATAAGTCTAGATGCCAAATTAGTCTAAGTCTGCTAAGGTCAGAACCTAAGTGTGAACCCGCAGCAGAGTCACCATGTTGTTTCACCCTATTTTGCACTAGTCAAAACAAGATTCAACTTGTAGTTTCTCTGTTGTTGATAAAAGAGAGTCGCCACCTAATATTTAAAGGTATACCAGGGTACCTATTTAATTACTAAGTCATATTCTTTATTAGTCTGCTAACCAGTGATATTATGGTTAAGGGTTCTTGTTCTTCTAAGGGGAAGGTGTTCGGAGCCCCTTAAAAATTATTTTAATTATAACTACTAATTATTTTAATTAATTATTTGTAAAAATACTTTGTTTTCTAAATTGTAATACTAATTTTGAATTATTAACCTGGTAACCTAATTTACTAGAAATCAAGGAGTAATTCATTAAATTAATTATAGAACCTATATATATATATATATAGATATATATAAGGTTGTTTTAATAATTTTAAAATAGTAAGTATATTTGTAATTATATAATTATTAATACTACATGATTAATTTTAAAACTAATACTTAATTAATTTTTAAAAATAGATATTTATTACTAGAAAATACTTTTAAAATATTTATTGTAAATTATTAAGTATAAATAAATTAATTTAAAAAGGGAGGGTAAAAATTGGTCGTCAACAGCCGCCCCTCTTTGGCCGGAGACGATGAAAGATTTTTCGGGCAAAGAAATTGAACTAAAGTCAATTTTTTCCCTACTTTAGGCATGTATTGCAGGAGTGGTGTGAAGATTATGAATTGAACGATTGAGTTAAGGAAGAATCTGGAAAGATTTTGGGAAGAATTTTGGACATATTGGGGCCGAATTCTGGCTTTGAATTGCTTACATACCTCGGTCCTACTGAGGATCAAGCCTCATGTTGTTTTGGAGTGAAGATATTTGAGGAAACGATACTCGCAGGAATTGTTTCAGTATCGTATTATGACGATACAACGATACGGAGGGTTGGGCACTCATGATAGCTTGAATTTTGCATCTAGATTTGAAGGATTTGAAAATTTTGAGTTTCACTAGTCGTCTTGAACTTGGATCCTTGGCCCGCTAAGGGATTTGATGTCCCCATAGAGTTGTAGCTTGGTTTGCTGCTTAGAAAAGTTCCATGTTGCGGTGTTTGTTCCTACAAAATGAATGAAATTCACGTATACCAATATATTGTAATACAGAATATATTAAGATGCGATGCATATGAAGCAGGAAGGATGATGCCTAGCTGCCGGCGAGCCGTTATTCGGGATCGGGATGATGGGATACTTGAATTTAACTCGATTTGTTAGTCGGGCTGTGTACCGTTCCGCAACTGTTAGAGCATTTGAAAATTATCTCCGCTTGTTGGGAGAGCATGATTGGTAGAGTGCGTCTCCGCTTGTTGGGAGAGCTTTGCACTGAGAAGTGTCTCCGCATGTTGGGAGAGCTTAATTTGTAAAGTGCGTCTCCGCTTGTTGGGAGAGATTTGCATTGAAATGTAATGTGATCCCCGCTTGGGAGTGATTTACTAAACCATAATCATGCCTGAAGCTGCATGACCAAAATGTCAAAATATTCAAAGCAATAGCATATGAAAATAAAGCATGCCCAAGAGATACTTTTGACTGCGAAGCTAATTTGCGGCCATTGGTTGGCAGAACGTCAGTGGCGGGGTTTGCGACTGTCGAATCTGGCATACGTTGCAATGGAGCGGCGATGCAGATTGCCTTAATGGCGACTCTGATTGATGAAGCCGACGTTCGATTTGTACAGGGCGCTCTGATTGATTGAGCTGGCGGTTTGCTATATACAAGACTTCAATTAGTGAAGCCGACAACTCATTTATACAGGGTGCTCCGATTAGTTAAGAAGGCGGTTTTCTATGTACAGTTCTTCAGTTGGTGAAGCCGACGATTCGTTAATACAAAATGCTCCGATTGGTTGAGCAGGCGATTTTCTATGTACAGGTTTTTCTGTATCAGTTGTCTGATTCCAAGGTACCTACAAAGGATTCAAAGACTAGCTTTAGTTGTACCCAAAAACTTTCAAGTAAAGGAGAAAGAGAGATGGTCTTAGGCAAGTGGCGGATCCTTCATTTTCTCCAATGTGGTCTTAGTGCTTCCTTACTCCCTGTTGACCCTACACTCAAAGAAAAATCTTAGTAGGGGCGGGTATGGTTTGTGTCGACCACAATCTTGGTTTGNTATATACTGTTTTAGAAAGAATTTTGATTCAAGGCAAAATGTCGTTGTTTCGGATTATGACATGTTACGAAAGGTACTCCACACGCGAGCATATTCTCTTGAGAACTTCACGTTGTTGATGTAGACCTTCCGTGATGCTTCTGACAACGCGGCTGCTTGCTGCTTCGACTGCGTCCTAATTCGAACTAATGCATTACAAGGTTTTTCCTAAG